AGAGAGGGTTGATCTTAATGATCTGCCGACCCACTCTTAATATTTATATATGTTGACTAATTGTAAAAGGGCTGAATTGCCCTTATTGCTTACATGGCAAATAAACTAATAATAAAGCTGAAATAACAAGCTGTAACAACAAACTGAAATTACTACCAACTAACACTGACATAACTAACAAAAAAAAACATATGCTATGCTGCCATACGAACACAGTGGGGACCACAGCAGTGGGGTCCACATCAGTGTTCTCTACAATTTCCACATATTTCATAATATTTCCACAATGTCTCTAATTTTTACAATATTTCCTCTCGACATTTCCGACATATGTCCTATATTTTGGTAACCGACATTTCCATCGACATCGACATTTTAAACCTTGTGTATACATATTTTTTGTTTTCTCCCCTTGCCAAAGAACTCAGTTAAAACTAAGAATCCTCCATTTCTATTTCTTTTGTTTGCTACTATGAATCTCTTTCCTTTGTAAGTCATTTCATTTCCCCAACCTTGTGTTCTTTCTGCATAAAGTAGACCATCTACGAAGCCTTTAAACCAGTCCACCACTTCTGAATCCATTATAATTGTTGCACGTCGGTCTTCGCTTATTTTCAGGTTTTTCTGCCTTCTGTTGGTTATTTCCTCCAATAGGATTTTCTTTTTCTCCAGTTGGAATGCTCTTTTCCATTTTTCCACCCGAATGAAACTCCCCATTTTCTGCTCAGCGGCTGTCTTGCTCCCACCTGAGATTTGTCACCGGAGTTAATGGTCTCCGGTGTCACAATGAGCTGTGCCTTGAACCCTCATTCTCAACTGTCGGTCGTCGGTTGATGCCAAACATAAAACGTCGGTTGTAGTTTATCCTATGAACTTGACTTACCTTCAAACATGGCAGGATGTGCCCATGATTCTTAGAGTTTAAACAGATTAGCCCATCTAACTTGAACATACAAGGCACCTTCATCAAAATTGAATTAATATGCATGCTCAGGATTGATCTTTGTTTCAAGATTGTTTACAGTTTGGCTACAGCTACATAATCTTATGATTGGACTGGCTGGGACTCAACCCACCTAAATGCACTTGCATGCTACCACAGTTGGTAACAATCATGAGAGAACAATCTTAATGATGCATTGACTTTATTCATTCCCTGCTCCTTTCTCCCCTTCTTTCTCCTCCACTAGACCATCATCCCCTTCCCTTCCTCTTTCCCTCCTCGCCTCTTCATTTTCTCTTGTTTCCTTTACCCCTACAGACCGGATTATCTCAACTCCTTGGCTGCTCTCCCCCTCTTCCCTGATTACAACTCCAACTCCTTCCCTCTCATCCCTCGCCATCCCTTCACTTTTCTTTTCTTCCGTTGCCTCTCTTTGCTTTTCCAGATCTTCACTTTTAAAATCTTCCAAAGCATCTTCCTTACCATTAGGGCCTTCTTGAGAAACCTCTTCGTCCTCTCCTTTTTTCTGTTGGTGATTTTTGCCTTCAGAACCCTCATGGACTCCTCCCTTCTCTTCCTCGCCTCTCTTTTCTTCCTTGTTGAGTTTCTTAGGCGATAGCTTCTTCTTGAAAAACTTTACTTTTTCTCCAGACAACACCTTCAGCATCATTGATTGGTTCCTCAAAGATCTCCTTCTCTATCAGTCCTTCTTCAATCGTTGTGCTTCCTGCTCAATCACCTAAACCTTTTGTACATTCTGTCGTTCCTCGTGTCATCCCGAACTGTCAATGTTTTCAACTTTGAACCCATTAAATATAGAAGAAGAAGACTCACCAGGATTATCCGACGAGTTGCTAAAAGGCCTCTTTTTTCCACCTAGTTCAGAGCACTCGCCCTGTAAATCCGACCCTCTCTCCTTACCTATTTTATCACATACTCTATTCGATTGACTCGGGGTACCCAAATTTAAAGAGACCTCACCCCTTCATTTCTTGAGCAAATTTCCACCTTTTTCAAAAACATTTATAAGTTCTGTGGCTTCTGCCCTTTTCAAGGAGCTAATCTTGTTCCTCTTTCCCACGGTCTGTTCTTCTTCCAGGCCAGACACTTATGTCGACAAAATCTCATCCACACCTTTGCTACCACATGGCCTCCACCCTGCCACATCAACATCATCTTCAACCTCACAACCTTCCCCCCGCAGCAACGCTTCATGTTCTGTTGTGATCCATATCCTCATCCAGACCCCCTGCAAGAAAATCTCAAGAGATCGAGGAACCTCTTCCAGCTTCACTCCGATGATTTCCACCATTACATATCTGAGATTCGACATGTTGCAAAAAACGAAGACCCCTCCAATTGCCACTGCTATCTTCTCCAGAGCAGTTATGAAGCTTCTTGCTATTACAAGAGATTGTCCATTTCTACACCTGAATCACGCCCAGCTCAGTTTCAAAGCTGTCGAACTCCACTGTTCTTGCTTCAACAACCAGCAGTGCTCTCATTTTGTCAAAAAGGGAAGATTGCCACCCCTGCATCCACTTGAAGTTCCTTTTTCAGAACATTCAAGATAATCTCCCCATCCATAACCTCTCAACCTGCTTCCAAAACCAGTCTTCTCTCCCACCCTTCTCTATTTCCTTCCGTGACCAGCTTTTGAACTTTGTTGACGCTACCTACGACCACTTCATTTTCAACCGCTTCTCTTTGAATGTTCTTTAATTCTTCTCCTCTGATTCAATTATCAACTTTCATTGACAGAAATTCTTGAAGCTTCTGAGCAAACAAACTCCAACCTGATCCCTGTTTTCCTTAGGGAAGACAGACCAACTGTTTTCTGTTGTTGCCAAATTTCTCAGTCACAGCCACGAACCAACCCTTCTGATTTGATTTCAAGATCACCTGATATTTTCTCCTTTGAAGTTCCAACGAGCTCATCCACTAATTTCTCTTCACTGAAAATAGTGCACCATCGATGAACCCTTTCAACCACTGTGTAGCTTCTACTAATAGAATAGTTGTTCTTCCTTCTTCTCTTAGTTTCAAAACTGAGAGATTTCTGCTTCTTCCTTCTTCTAACAGCAACTTCTTCGCTTCAATCGTGAATTCTAATCTCCACCTTCTTTCTGCGGCAAAAAAACCTTCTTTCTTCATGATCTTCTTTATTTATTTTAAAAAGTATATCCATGTATAACAAATATAAGGGAAAACCTATGATGCGGGAAAGACATCATATCAAAAGAGTTTTGACCGATCAAAACCCACCCATGAATTTTGATAGATAACACCTGATTGGCTACCACGTTTATGATACCTGTGGATTGGTCAAAATTTTTTCAGATATCATATCTTTTCGATATCATAGTCAAACCCCAAATATAATCATTAATGGACAGTAAAAATATCTAAACTAAACCCAATCAAACTAGATTAGAATTTTGTCTCCATAGATCACTATGAACCACATCAAATGGGGCAAATGAACCAATGAACTGGGCTTTTACTCAAAGAATATGTAATATAAGATTTACCAAAAGATATGAAGGCATTTACATTTCAGAAGACAAAAATGAAAAAATGAAACTGACCAAACAAATATTTCAACACTTTGGGGGATAGGATTACCTCAATACTCACAAGCAAATCCCTTACATTGGTTCTATAAATAGGTCATCGTAATTGGAACTTTAAGAGTTGAGTTAATGAATAAAGGTTTAGTTTTAACGAATTGTGGTTATAGCAATTTGTTCCAGGTATTTCATCTCCCTCCTAACTCACTAAACTCTATATTTTCTTCTATTCTTCTTAGCTCCAGCTTTCAGCACATTTATCATACAGTCTAGCCAGTCATTGTTCACCTTTCATCATTAATTATCCATCCTAATTTCCCTTATTCTATTATGTATAAATACGGTGGTCCACTTTCAGCATATTTGACTAATCACACAGCTATGTGCATTTCCTCAGTTTCCCTCTGCTGCATCGGCAACATGTTGACTACACCCCAGTACATGGCAGCTTTATAATCCTCCTTGTATTGGAGTTTCCTTGTGTTATATCAGCTTCCGAATGTTTCAATTTTCAATTTAAAGAATACAGGGGAACAAAAGGTGCACTTTTAGCTAAGTTTTGCTGCCCTAGCCAAAAGAAAAATGAACTCATAATGCATCATTAATCATATTGTAGATGCAGCTTAATGAACTTATGAATCAATAGTTTTCTTATGTCTTGAATACAACAGAAACCAGGATTTTGTTAAATGAATTTCAGGAGTATTAAAGAACCGGTTTACCGAGAGTCGTTAAAACAATCAGAGCAAACTCTGACATTGGATTGAATGCCAAATTGTGGTAATGCCTGAAAATAATGTTGAAAAAAGATAATTGAATTTTCCAAATTAGATTTCTTCAAATGAGAAATTTGAACTTAAGCAATGATGGTGAAAGGGAAGGATGACTAGAACTAATACCATTTGATTGGATGAGTGTTCATGGCACAATGTTCTCCCACAACATCGGCAATGATGCTGCATAGATAACCAATGAAAGATAAATTAACATTGTGTGGTATTGATATTTTTGTAATGTGTACTTTGAAAACATCATATTGATTGTACAGCATTAAATAGCCAATGTAATGGTAAATAAACAATAAATGCAAGAATTTTGTGGTGAGACCTGCTATCACTTACTAATCTCCTGTCCATTTGTTACTTGTATTTGGGATTAGTTTCTTTCTATTTTCAGGTGTAGGTGAAACTAACCCACTAATATCTCCACTTTATTTTTTCCTACAACTTTTAGATAGCCTAAAGGAGAGGAAAATTTTGATAAACACTACGGTGCAATCATTTGAACAATTTGGGAAGAAAGAAATGTACGAATATTCAATGAAGCAAGGAATCAAAAGCCAATAATTGAGTGTATAATTACCAAAGGTGGCCCACTGGGTTAAGACAATGGAGATGCTCACGTCTTTTTCAATAGATGATATCATTAGAAAGCAGAGGAAAATGTCAAGGACGTCTTCTAAAAAGAATACAGTCCGCAAGAGTTGGATGCCACCAGACAAAGGGTTTGATGGGAACAGTAAGGGTAACCCAGGGATTTCAGGTGTGGAGGGAATCTTCAGAAATGAAGGAGGCAATATTGTCTTTATGTATTCAGGCCCCATTGGAGTAGGAGATTCACTAAGGCTGAGGAGTGCAGAGGGAAAAGGAGATGAATGTAGAAAAGCTGATTAATGAAGAGGATTCTAAAGTAGTGGCAGCAAAAGAAAGAAGCTGCTTTGTGGTGTACTGGTGATTTAGTATTGAAGTGAAAAAAGTTAAGGTGGTTGACTAGAGATATGGAGGTGAGGGTTCATTGGACTCCAAGGGAAACTAATAGCTTGGCAGATGCTCTAGCTAAGCAAGGGGCTAAGAGGGAACAAATGTTTTGGGCACAGTTGTAAGAGATTGAAAGGAAATACAAAGGGTAGAGATAAGACTCCTTTCCCATTCCTTCTCATCTCAGCTTCAAATATTTTCCCTAGAATCTCCATAGAATTTTTCCAACCCACTAACCTAGGGGAATTGAATACACCATCAACAAAACCCTTCAACCATAATACAGCTTCCTCAGGCAAGAAGATTGTCACCCTCCTGTCTTCTTTGATTTTCAGAGCAGTCTTACCTCCTGATCTTCCGAGTTCAACCAACAATTTCTTTGCTTTGATAGCCAGTTCAGACCTCCATCTTCTCGTCATTTGGAAAGCTCTGTTGACTCGTCTTCATCCTTGTCATAACCAAGCTTAATTGGTCAGTATCTTGTATAAAATTATTGCTAAGATTCTGTCTTTAAGGTTCAAAAAGTTATCCCTTCTATCACCACCTCCAAACAAGATGTCTTTGTACAAGATAGGCAGACTACAAATCAAAACCTGATTGCAAATGAGTGTGTTGAAGACAGGAGAAGATCGGGAAGGAAAGGATATATTTGTAAACTAGAGTACTAGACATTGAAAAGCCTATGATTTGGTGGACTGGTCCTTTTAGTTAAAGGCAATGAGGAAGCTTAGCTTTAGAAAAAAATGGTATAAGTGGATGTGGGACTGTCTTTTCAAATTCTTCGTTACTCAATTTTGGTGAGTAGGATAATGGTAGACTTTTTTAAGTAAATAAAAAAAGAAAATTTATTAAGAAAGAAAGAAGATACAACAAAGTGATAAGAAATCACCCAAGAGAAGAGAGAACAAAACTTTCAACCCATAGCCTTTTAAAAAAACAAATGGAATCCGCAAAAGACAACCCAAATAGCCCCCACCCCAACAAACTAAATAGATAATACCAACCAAAGAACATAAAGAAACTGCTTTCCAAATACATAGGATTAACAATTCAACCCAACCGTCCCAGCCCCTGCCTTATACCAATAGAAAACCTTGTACCCAATAGCCCAACTCCAACAAGGGCAACATCAGGATTTACCCACTTCCTCAGCAATTCCAGTGTCTGAAACAGAACTCTCTCTTCTTTTTTGAATGGCTTTCTATGTCTTCTTAACCCTCTCCTTTGGCCCCACCCCAAACTATCCTACCTTTAATCTGGCAAAAACTTTTGAAACTTGCACAAGGGCAATGGTAGACTTCTTCCAAACTAATAGAGGACTAAGACAAAGGGATCCCCTTTTCTCCTTTCCTCTTAACCTAATACCTCGTAGTTGATGTGCATCATTCTTCTCTTTTGTGATGGAGATCAATCTCAATGGACTCATAAGTTAAAGTTGCATATTCAACTCTTTGAGCAAATCTCAAATCTGAAGATAAATTTCAATAAGAGTTGTATAGTAGGGATGAATTTGGAGGATAGGGAGTTGTCTAATTTTGCAAGAATTATGGGCTGTTCTTTCACCTCAAGGCCTATGGAATACCTAGGACTTCCTCTAGGATCCAACCCCAAAAATCATAGCTTTTAGAGCATGGATAAAGATTATGCACCAAAGTTGTGGAGAAGCTAGAAAAGCTTTATTTGGGGAAATCTTAACCACGAAGTTATATATGAAACAACAATTGTACAGGCTAAAGATGAAAGATGATGAGGGTCTCCTGGAATACTTTAATGTGTTCAACAATATCTTGGATCAATTAGGGAAGTTGATGTCGAGGTAGAGGAAGAAGGCATGGTCCATTTGCTTCTTACCTTGCTTCTTGATTTGCACGAGAACTTGGTGGCAATGTTAATGCATAGAAAAAGCACAATGAAGTTGGAAAAGTAACCATGTTTCTTCTATCCAATGAGGTTAGAAAGAAACCCAAGTATGAGAGTGGACAAGATTCTACAATGGTTATGTAGGGAACAAATAAAAAAAAAAAAAAAGTCATTTGACAAGAGATTTGAGAGTAATAGGTCTAGATCCAAGGTCAAGGAAAAGGGCAAGGTACAATGTTACAGATGCAAGGAATTTGGTCAAATAAAGAAATATTATGGATTAATTTAGTAGTGTGGTATTACATCGGATGATAATAGAGATGTTCTCACAATTTCTAAGGTTATGTGCATTTCTTCTCCAGATGAGTGGGTTTTAGATTCTAGGTGTTCTGTGCATGTTTACTCTAGGAGGGAATATTTTGATACATTTCAAGAAAGAAAGATGGATATTGTCTCCTTGGGTGATGGGATGGGTCTACTTTTGACATCACAAATATTGGGACAATGAAAATCAAAATATTTGATAGAATGTTCTGCACTTTGCATGGTGTAGCAAACATCCCAAAGATGCATAGAAATCTAATATCAGTTATCTAATTGGACTCCAAAGGAATTCAAGGTCTTTGCTACAAGTAGAGTTATAAAAACCACACACAGTGGTATGATCCTGATGAAGGAAAAAATGTACAGGGGCTTATATCATCTAGTTGGGAGTATGACGGTTCCCAAGACCTTGATGAGTTGTTAGAAATAGAATGTGCAAGATAGTGTAGCCAAACTAAGAGTTTCTTTCACAATTAGGGCAGAGACAAATGCTACATGTTTCCAAGGTACAATCATGGTGAGAAGAATATTCAAATGTAGCTAAGCAAGTACATTAGCCATTTTATTTAAATCAAGTGGTGTCAAGACAAGTGATTCAAGTTATGTATAGCTGGTGGTGTTATTCAAAGGCAATGGATGTTTGTAATATTTGCAAACAGGTGGAGGCACAAATGGAAGATCTCCAAAGTGATTGAAAAATAAGCCAAGGTGAACATTATTGGCATTGTGTCTTATTTTTCAACCATGGGATTATGTTGTAATCTAATAGTTGGTGTGGTCCTCCTTTAGGTTAAGGTGGGTTTTACATATAAAAAGTTTCTTTTGTATGTAGGGTTAAGAGAAGTTTTTTTCTTCTCTTGTTGGAGAGAAAGAGAGAGATATTAAAAGAAGTGTGGTCTTGGTGTAAGAGTATATTCTCTTCTCTTGTTTTGTTCTTTGAGTTGAGAGAGAAAATGGAGAATAGGTGTACAAGGGTTAAGGATTGGTTTGGGATACAAATCACAAGATACGTGTACTGTTTCTCATTTTCTTTCATAGCCAAGAACGGTTTTCATCTATCCCATAGACATAGACGGTAAGACCGAACCATGACAATCCTTTGTGTTCTTCGTGGTACTTGTTTTGTTTTGTCTTTGCTTAGATTTCTTTATTTTTGTTGCTATTAAATTCTCTTGATTGATATTCTATTTCACACTTTGTGGTTTTGTCCTATGAATGGTTGTTGTCAGCCCAACAGTATCTATGGACAAAATCTTCTTTAATCTCTCCCTTGATGTAGATAATTGAGTCCATATTCTGGTGTGAGATTGTCTTACACAACTGGTCCACATAAAGGAAGAGGTTTGTGTGAGTTTGGCTGCCAGCATTGAAACGTATGTCGAACTCTTATGGTCATGGGTCCTAACAATATATACGTAATGTCTCCGATACCTCCAACATTTTAGATAACTATGCCCAATTAAGCCCAAATACCAAAAATAATCGCTTGAAGAATCTCTTCGGTCAGAATTCTTAAATAATTCGCTGTTTGTATTTCTGCGTCAACCGGCACTGACAACTAAAGAAAGAATTTCCCCTATTATTTTGCGTTGGCCCTAAATCTACTAAAATTGCCTTCGGTCCATATCATATAGCTTATTTTGAAACCTTTAAGTTTAACCTCTAGTATCTCCCTATTTAATCATAAGAAAGAAAAGAAAATAAATGCAACAAACTCGAAAATGATTGCTAAAGGGAAAAACTGAAGAGTATTAACCAACATATGCAATTAAGTAAAGAAAGAAAACAAATATAATCTAACAAAAATATATAGGGTTAGATCATTCCTTCAAACTTCAATAGAGCATGGTATTTTTTGTATGCTTGGATAACTGAACAAACAAAGGAGCAATTGATCCTTCTATAAATTACCCGTCGTCTGAAGGTGTTGAAACTGCATTTGCAAACGTCGCAGCGTGCGGCTTCCTGGAAGGGCGGAGGTTCCGATGACATTTCGCGATTACGAGATTTTGATTTTAGTATTTCGTGATCCAAGTAGATGATAGATCATTGAAGGAATTCAGGAAAGGGAATGAATGGACACGGCTATGTATGTACTGCTGTAATTGACTCCGAAAGTCCACCCCATCCGGCATCCGATCCGATTATCTCGGGTTCAGATGGTCCGTGCTGGAACCGAAATCTATAAACGGATCGGATTTAACCCAGCCGATCCACTCCAGATGCCGTGACTTTGGATTCGAAGAGATTTTCCCTTTGAGGCCCATCATTTTATGACACGTCAATTGAGAGATGGGAAACCAGTACGGTGAATTGACTCCGGATCTCCTGCCCACGCCTACCCACAATACACCACCCCTTGTGAATTGGGAGCACTATCTATCTATCTGTATATATATATATATATAGCAAGATGGTCCACGTCATCCTTGCTTCGATTTTAGATCTGAGCCCCACAACGTCCCACAACACATTCCCGCAATGTATTAGGAACATCTCCTTATGATGACGTCATCGGTTTTGATACTATCATCGGAGATGTTCCTAATACACAATGGAGCAAGGTTCTAAATATCGATATGCCTGATACGCCAGTAGGGGCGTATCGAGCAATATCGATAGTGTTTTTCTTTTTACTTTTTTTTTTATTTTTTCAAAACCGGTTCAGGGGGCGATTTAAGTCTCCTCCACCCACTGAACCGATTAGAACCCCGATACACCCTCTGTAAGGGCATATTGGGGAGCTCTCGAAACGATACGTGTCGATACTTTGAACCTTGCAGCGGAGATGTGATGTGGGACATTGTGGGGCGCATATGTGAACTCCCTTGCTTCTCCTTGCTCCATTACCCCAACCATGCATTCTCCTTGACTTTCTCTCCACTTCCCTTTCCCACCACTCCCAATTTGCCATCTCAACACCCTCTCTCTTCATTCCTCTCTCCCCCCACAACTCATGTCTCTCACTTTCTATAACAACTTAACTTTTCTCCTTAACTAGTTCAATATATGTTTTATCCTCTCCTTTACTTCTATCTCTAATTCCCCTCAAGAGGTGTAAATCGAGTCGTATCGCCTATGGCCCAGCCTAGCCTGATAGTTCATAGGCCGTGTTGTGGCTCCAACACGATTGTATGGGTCGTGTCGGGTCAGCATAGCCCGCACTGTCATGTCGTGTCGCTCATGGCCCACAGGCTAGCACGTTTTGGCCCGCAAGCCCGTAGTAGCCCAAGTGTGGCCCACTCGAAGAACTAGCCATTAGAGACCCCTCAACGTCTAGTTTCAACTTTTTGGCTTTTTTTTTACAGAAATACCCCCAATAATTATAAACAGCTATATGGGGGTATTTGTGTATTTTGGCTTTGGGAGAGATAAAATGACAATAATGCCCCTACCGACTATTAATAGTTAATTTATTGGGGTATTTAGGTAAAATGATAAATGACTTTATAATGACCAAAATACCTCTCCCAACAACTAAAAATGGTTAGTTTTTAGGGTATTTGGGGAATTAAATTATTTTTAATTCGTATAAATAGCCTTATCCTCCACCATTTTCATCACCAAAATTCTCATACTCTTTTATGTTCTCTTAAATCTCAATCTCTCATACATCATACTCTCACATATACTCTCATACTCTCTCTACTCCCCAATTTTCAACTTAATTCAAGTTTCAACAAGTAAAAGGCTTGCTTGGGTATCTCAAGTTAGCAATTTGGGAGACTTAGAGGCTTCAACCATTGAAATCAAGTTGAGATTTCGAATTGGTAATCCGGATAAGTGCAATTAAATTAATATTTATTTTTTTATAATTAAAAAATGGTCGACTCTTCTCTCACTCTCGACACTAATTCCCCAACGTGTCAATGTCAAGGTTCAATTGCAATATGATAGTTTTATCACCAATATGGATGCTGTTGATATCACATTCCCACCTCTAGTACTACTACTAGAGGTAGGGGAAAGAAAAAGGAAAACATTATGTTGATTAGCCCAGTTTGGACAATATTTAAAATAGATGAGGTTAAGGGGAAGCGAAAGAGAACTGCTTATAAAAATGTAGGAGTGACCTTTGCTACAGTAGTAGTGGTGGTACTAGCCACTTAGGCAGACATTTAAAACGTCATATGATAAAAGAATAAGAAGAAGGGAAAGAAACATCACAAGCACAAATAGGAAGTGAGATTTTTTGTACTTTTCAATATTTTCAATAAAAAATGAGGCAAGAATTAACAAAATATATTGTGCATGTTGAACATCCATTTTTATTAACTGAAGATACTAAATTTGAAAATTTTTTATGTACATCTATAAATCCACAATTTAAAAAAGTTTGTAGAAATACTATTAGAATAAATTCTTTAATTTTTTTATTCATATAAACAAATTTTAATTTCTATATTATCAAATCTTATTTCTAAAATTGCAATTACATCTGATATTTGGACATCTAGATTTAATATAAGTTATATTTATGTTACCGATCATTTTATTGATAAAAAATAGTTTTTAAATAAAAGAATTTTAAATTTTAATAGGCTTGAATGGCCACATACTAGCGCAATTATTATCGTAAGTATTTTAAATACTTTATATAAATATGAAATTTAAAATAATTTTTTTTCTATTAATTTTAATAATGCTAGTAATAATGATTTAGCAATAAATATTTAGACAATTTACTTAAATTATCCCTACTATTTATAAAATTGACTAATTATACCCTTATTGTTTTACTATTGTCTAATGCCTACGGTTTCAAAAATTTACCATTATCGTTAAAATATGAATGGAAAGGTTGAAATGTCTGTTTCTCCATGAAATAAAGATGATATTTGGGCTTGTATTTCTACCAACCCAGTTGTTGTTTCGTTAAATTGTTCATACATTCCGGGAAACGTACGTCTATGTTGAATAGAGATCGCAGTTTGCTTCCCTCCTGACGGAGATCAACCTTCTCCGGTCGTCGCTAGACAAGCACGTCAGGGGCATTGGCAAGGAGAGCCCGAACTCAGTTTTCCATCAAAGTCGAAGTCAAAGAACATGGTTTCCTTGGCAATGTCAATTGCCACCCACCGAATCCATGGATCCAGCCTGCAGCTGTGAGAGGATCTAATGTAGCCATCGTAGATGGGTTTGAGCAGACCGCTCTCGCAGAGTTTCTTGAAATATTCCTCTCCAATCTCCTCAACCTCTTCCCCACTTGAAGCCACCACGAAGCCTTCTCCTGTCCACCAATAGACCAAAGATCTCTTCCTCATGATCTCATTCTCGGGGAATATGGACAAGCAAAGGAAGCAGAGTTTTAATTGCGGTTCAAGACGTTCATACATGGCCCGAGCATCCGAAACAGCTGGATGTTTCATTATCTCCTCTGGCTCGAGCCTCTGCCACTTGTTGATTTGATCGGTTTTCTCATTGGTTTTCTCATCAATTCAGGACGAGATATAGTGGGTAGTCTCTATAAGGGCTGCCCACCAAACTTGAATTTTCCAACCTCCCGAGCGATGCTTTGGATTTTTTTGCTAACTGGGTTGTTCTGGGGCTCGACGATACAACCGGCGGAAATGGAGTGCTTTCTGTGGAAGATGTTGGACGAAGTCGTCGATTCTGTTGTTGAGAGAACTGAACGCATCCTCCACAGAATTGAATGCAACTTTCTGGGTTCTTCGGCGTCGCTCCGGCCTCATCTTCGTCCCCTTTCAACGGCCATGGTAACTCCGCCGTTGAGAGAGGACCTTGCGTCGCTCGGCGATGGTAACTCCGCCGACGTATCAAATTTGAAAGATGACGCCAGGGTTGGTGTTGCTAAGAAGACACGATTGGGTAAGGGCAAAATTGGGTTGAAAACCGATGATGGTGATACGGAATTGAAAACCGATGCTTGTTCTGATGAACTGCCGTCCAATCACTCGTCATTATCGTTGGCATCGTCGTCATCCTCGGAAAACGAAGGGGTACCGATATTGGTCGGGTGCGGGGAAGTCTTCGGGTGAGGATGCCGACATCAATGGAGAAACATGGGAGAGAGGGGTCCGCCGTTGCAGCGGTAGTGAAGAAACATGGCAGACAAGGAGAGACAACGAAGGGGAAGAAGGAGAGAGAGAAGGTGGAGGGGGGCTATCTCCGCTGGTTAAGGAGCTCGGTTTGCCGTTGTTGAAAGGAAAAAGAGGATAAGAGCAAAATTGGGTTTAAAAAATATACATCATGTGTGTAATTTTGACGAAATACTAAGGATGTTAACGGTAAAAGTAGAACTAATCAATTGTGATAAACAGTAAGGATACCAGTAAGGGATTTTATTCATTTTCGTTCTATTACTGATCTTCACACTTTTAGAGTCCTTGAAGCTGATGAGGACGTCAAACCATTCAATTGAATAAAATACAAAAAATTGAATTGGTGGGCCTTCATGTCAAGCAATCCCATGTTTACTTCATTTGCATTCACCCAAGAATGTTAAAAGCATTCAAAGACAAGTTAATATCGTTTTATGGGTTAGCTTAGCAAGTAACCGGTGCACCTTGCATCTAATAGCACCTTGGATTTATGAGTCTTGAAGCGGTCGGGCCGTTTAACCCGGTAATCGAACCCCTGATCGGTTCGATCTCCTGACCAGTTTTAAAACCACGTGCAATAATGATTGTCTTTTTCTCCTTAGGTGACGTTTGAAGATGTAGAGGTGGTTGTCTTCTTCTCCTCAAGCGATTTGATTTCCATTTCTCCGACGGTGGTTGTCTTCTTCTCCTCAAGCGATTTAATTTCCATTTCTCTGGCGGTGGTCGTCTTCCTCTCTTTAGGTCATGTGCTATGTTTTAAGATGCAGCGATGACAATTGTGCTGCTTTGCTTTGACAAGGTTTAAAACGAGTATGGTGTTGGGTCAAATATGCATGACAGGCGCATTTCTGAAATAGTGCAAAGTTGTAAAAATTAATTAATCATGGGGTAAAATGGTAATTTAATAATAAGTTTAAGAGAAAATTAGTTATGATGAGTTTTAAATAATTTTTCTTATAAATAATAATGAGACAATAGAATTCATATATGCGCACCTATAAAGCGCATCCC